CCCTTCGTAGCGTTTTTGGGAAACAACAATGGTACTACGCTGATACTAAAAATCCTGCATGACTTTGGTACACTACAGTAACTATAGTACCTCTGAGGGTTTAAGGATACTTAGGGTCATGCTAGGACTTTAGTATCAACCGGATGGAGGCTCAGCTTCTTCCATCTGCTGGCGAATGAGGTCCTGGCAAGGCAGCCAGATGCGTTTGGGAACTTCAGGGTATGCGACTTGGGATTTGGGATGCTTGCAATTCTGCTCCTAAACCATAAACCTTAAACCCTAAACCCGAAATAGTAATTTCCATTTTCTTTTCCTTTATCCCTATATAACCCCAATATTACCCAAAGGCTTGGATCCACAGGCTGTAAGCTGGTGGTAGGCTTGAGTCTACGTCGGGAATGAACATTAGGGTTATGTTGGGGTAATATTATGGTTACATTAGGGTTATATTGGGGTTATATTAGGGTTATATTGGGGTTATATGAGGGCTCTGAGCGCGAGGTTTCACAAAGTTTTGCCGGATTCCTTCTCGAACCCTCCCTCCAGTCTCATGGAGTCTCTGCCAAAAGCATTGATAGACAGGTACTGCGAGAAGTGCTGGGAAAGTTTAATCTGGATCAAACAGGCTTGGCGCGCTGAGACTACAACTTTTTGGCTGCAGCTTTCCATGCAAGCTGAGATGAGAGCATCAATCCCCAGTGTCGCAGCAACATGACATGACAGGTCAGCAGTTGGGCGCTTCAGATAGCTCTGCACATGATGCTGGAGAAATTGAGCGGTTGGCTTTCTATTCCACCATTCCCCACGAACAAGAAGCAAGAAACTATACTATACTATAATAGGTTTTTCTAAAATCTACTATCACACACTTTAATATACTATGATATACTACAGTAGGAAACGCGACAGAAGCTCATCTTTGCGGAAACCCCAGGATCATCCTGATGCTCAAGCAGCTGCTGCTTGAAATTCTCCTGGAAAGACTTAGGGTTTAGGGCTTCGAATGATTTCGGGGCTGGTGGCTTGAGCCTAGTCTTTGGTTGGTGTCGGAGCTTTTTCACATTTTTGGGTGCCCAGAAGCCTCAAGGATATTTGAGGATCATAAGGAGATTCTGGGAAGTGCTTCTTAACGGGATACTACTATAGTATACTGTCATATACTATGATATACTATAGTATACTATAAGATACTGTCCTATACTACGAAAGACTAGGATTCTATATAGTGATTCTTTTGCAAAATACCTACAGGACGCCGCAGGGCTTAGCGTTAAGGGTGGCTCAGATGGACTCAGCAAGCAAAGCTGCAACAATCACGACCGCTACTAGGGTTTAGGCTTCAGGATTTAGGGATATATATATATATATGTATACATATATGTATAGGCTTCATTTGGGGGTTATGTTGGGATAAAATGAAATGGAAACCGCTTTAGAGCTTAGGGTTATATAGGGGTTATACAGGGGTCTAGGCTATCCACTAGGCTATCCACTGTCTCCCTGACTTTCTGAGGCAAATCACACACAAACCACACAGCAAGCTGCTTTTGAGAGATACCGGCCATCCCCAAAGAAACATTTTGACAACAAACAAGAGGCTCCATGGGCCCTTTTGCGGGGCTCCATATGTTTTTGCCGGATGTGACCCTGGAAACAACCGTGACAAGGGCTTAGGGTAAAAGATTTCTCCAGCTTCGGGTGTATGGTTTAGGGTTTAGGGTGCAGGGTACAGCAAAGGTGAAGTGTAGATCCCCCCTCCAAAGACTACTTTGGTGTATAGCGAGACAATACGTTTTACACTAGGGTGGGCTTCGGCGATTCTATAGCGATTAAGGGTAATACACATTCAAAACCCGTTCGAACCCTCAACCCCTGAACCTGTTGTGATGACTTCCTGGAAAGTGGGCCAAAAGCAGAAGATCTAAAAAAACCGGGGGATGCAGGGTTAGGGCTTCGAGATAAGAAGGGAGAAGCTCCGATTATTACTCCATTAATACAGACTCAGATGGAAAAGAACACGGAAGTTAAATGGAAGATGAGATAATATGGGGGATTATAGGGCCACCACGGCATGGCCGGCGAAAGAAAGCCCTACACCCTAAACTCTCAAACCCTAAACCCCTTATACTCTAAACCCTAAGCCCTCAAACTCAAAACCCGCAGGCCTGCAAGCATCCAACTCAGAGCTAAAGGCAATCATAATCATAAGCCAATTCTGGAAGGGTTTAGGGTTTAGGGTTTAGGGGTTAGATAGGATTTCTAAAAGGGCTTTAGAGGGGTTAGGGTTTATGCAGGCTTTATACAAGCTTTCTACACGGGTCATATGGGGCTTATTTTGGCTTTATATAGGGGATATATAGTGGGTGTACAGGGGTTATGTAGGGGGTGTATAAGGTGTACATAGGTCGTATACGGAAGACTAAAAAATGTATGGGGAGTTATAGAAAGTTCTTTTCGGGAGCATGTAGGGTGTATACGATTTAGGAAGCCATAACCCGAAGGTCCTCCATGCGAGAAATTTCCATCCTCAGAAAATGGGGTTTGGTGTTTGAGTCTTGTACTCCTAGGGGTAGTTCTTGCGGGTTTAGGGTTTAAAGATTAAGGCTTAGAGTAAACCACAGGTTTCGAGCACTGCAGGGGCACAATGTCTTGTAACTTGCACGGTTTCGGGGCCATTGGCTGGGCATATCCCAAGAATACCTGCGGCCTGTATCCCCTGGAAGTCTCCAGGAGCCTGGGACATTGACCCTAAACCCTAAACCCTCTTGAGTTGAGTTTCCTTAGCGTAATCTGGAAGCCCCTGAGCCCCCAAGGAAAAGCTTTGGGTGCCCTATCAAAATCATCTGTTGAAGGCTTTATGAGGATCATATAGAGCTTAGCTTAAGGTTAATCATACATGAAAAATGATCAAACCTATCCCTGTTGCCCCTACACCCTGTTTAGGGTTTAGGGTCAAGCCCTGGCTGAAAGCTGGATGAAACCACAACACTTGCTTGCAAACCAGGCTGGGGTTGATGGTCTGGGATAACTCGAAGGAGGTAAGTTTGGCCCAGTATCTCTTGCATCTGTCTGTTCATGCGCGGGAACTACCTGAACTTTTGGAGCATTAAATATGATGTACATGGCCCCGTTGGGTTTGCTTATATATGTACGGTAGGGCTTCCTGCGGAACAATCCAGCTGCAACATGCCGTGATGCTGAATATTCATGAATATTGGGGTGTGGTTGCCGCCCCAAACAACTCTCCTGCCCAGCAATCCAGAAACACGACGGTCATATCCAAAATCATATTCAAATGGAAAACGAAATCGAAACTGTGGTTTATAGGAGTTGGATACCCCTAGCTGCAAGCATGTAGAATCATGCAGTCTCTGCCAGTGACTATCATACATAACACTAGTGTTTCGCAATATAGAATAACGTACATACCTAGGTCTACAGTGTTGGGGATTCTTGGGCTAGCTTGGGATTGGTAAACCCTTAAGCATATACAACAACTGCCCATATTCCCGTTAAACGGACCACCATATGAGCTATAGTCTAAACTCCGAGTATCCCCTTAATAACCCCTATACTACTCCCCTATATATTCCCCTATACAAACCCCCTTTGATGTGTTTAGACTATAGCTCATATTACTTCTGTTCTTAGCAGGGCACTTGCTCTCAGCCTGACTCTGGTCCAGCACCTGCACCACAGCTTAAACCCCTGGGTCACACGAAGCCGGTTAAGGGGAGTATGTAGGGACAAATATTATCAAGTTTGGGGCTTAGGGTCTAGGCACTAGGAAGATTACCCCCAATAATGGAAAATCAGAGGAAAACAAAAATGAAAAATGAAATGGAAAGTGGGGCCTAGGGAAAGTTTTACCTGTAACCCCAAGTACTTTGCAGCTTCTTCTCTGTTATACCTACGTACTGATTAGAAGGAAATTACTACTAAGCTGCACCCTAAGCCCTAAACCCTAAACCCCTAACACCTCAGGGGTTTTAGAGGGTAAGGCTCGTAGGCGCCAAGCTTCTGTGTACCAGTACTACTGCAGTCATGTTTCGATTCAGCAACAGCGGTCGAGGGTATATGAGCCCTGGGCTAAATTTGCAGTATACAGTATATCCCTTAATAGGTCCACCCCCAAAACCTAGAGGTCCCCCCCACCCTGAACCCTAAACCCTAAACCCTAAACCCTATATAGTCCCCTATAGGTCCCCCCCCCAACTTGAGTTTAGTCCGTAGCTCATAGGGTTTAGG